AGCTGTGGCCGTCTGCGCGGGCTGGTTGTCCTGCTGTAGTGTTCACACGCAGCTGCGGCTCTTGTGACACCTGGCCTGTGCTTGTGCGTCAGTCCTGGACCACGTGCACCTGTCAGCCTTGCTCATCTGTGGGGCTGTAGGAATTAGGGCAGCGAGCTGCCTGAAACAGGAGCTGTCTGTGCTCCAGCTGTTTGCCAAGGTGTGGAGCGTAAACCCAAGCCAGGAGCAGCTTTAGCCACTGTGCCAGCTGTCAGGGATTTTCTGGACCAGCACAGCGCTCTTTTTGAATCTGTGGTAAGTGGCTTCCTCCATTGAATGTTGTCCAGAAACAATTGTTCACTGGCTGAGAAGCGTGGGTGGTGGTGTCACGCCTGGTGTCTGAGAGCGGGCCGCCGTGGTCCTGGCTCACCGAGCTGTGTGTCCCTGACTTGTGCACACCATCTCGTCCCTACCAACTAGCTTCCTCTGTGTCAAGTATTGGGCATTCCTTTTGCCAAAATTTCGTAGGTGTGATTTTTCTTAAAAATAAGAAATTCGGGAATTAGAGAATTAAAGAGGAGTGCCCCACCCCCACCCACATGTTTTTGAATGTCCATATCATTTACATTTGAAATGAAAGCAGAACTCTAAACACTAGGGTGGAATTCTCCTGTGAGGTGTCTTTCTTTTAGCTGTGGTCACCGTAACAGCCTCCTCAGAGGGTAGCATCAGTACTAGAATATGAAATTTACTCCTGGCAAGTGTAAGCAGTTTAGGGTCCATCCCCATTGTGACTATGGATACCCAGTCAGGCCCCATTCTCCGGGCCCCCTGAGGACAGTGGTGACATCAGGGTTCACGGGGAGATTCACCATCTTGAAGCAGTCGCTCAGCCTCCCACTGTGTAGTTTCTTCATTTTAGTAAGCTGTGGTTTTATTTTGAATCAGCCTCTTTCAGCCTGTTAATATTAACTAAACTAAAATTAACCTTCCTCTGAATTATTCTCACATAGAAGCAGCAAAGTAATTTTGAAAGTTAAATCAAAACAAGGAAATCTTGTGTGTAAAAAAGATAAAAATCACAGACGGTGGTTACAGAGTACCTCTACAGGAGTTCTTACATAAAGCTGATTTCCTCCCATCTTGTTATGGAAGGAAAACTGGAAGTGTCCGGGCCTTATCACCATCCCATTATGTCAAACCAGTGCTCGGGAGCTTGTGTAGACAGTTGAGAGAAGGCAGGTCCTGTGGCAGCTGGTATCGAGGGGTAATGTTTTGGATCTGGAGGGGACGGTTATTCTTGGCCTGATTCCTGGCCGTGGTTCCTGTGATAGTTGAAAGCTCCCCCCGCCGGAACGAGAAGGGGGCTCGTGGAGGGCCGTAGCCCTGGCACGCTGGTCTCGTGTGTGCGTTACTCGCTGAGGGAAGGACCAGTGTCGATTTCAGGCTGGAACGGTGAAACGGGTTGCAGCCCTTGTGTTCGGGCAGGAGTGTCCTGTTCCCTTCGTTGGCTGTTGCGAGTTTACAGCTCACACTCACAGTGCAGAGGGCAGTAGCGGCCCAGTGGTAGATTTCTCCCCCTCCACGCGGGAGACCTGGGTTCCGGCCGTGCACCTCATATGCGGCCACCACCCGTCTGTCCTTGGAGGCTGGTGTGTCGCTGTGACGATGAACAGGGCTCAGTGGAGCTTGCAGACTAAGACGGACTAGGGAGAAAGGCCTGTTGATCTACTTCTGAAAATCCGTCATTGAAAACCCCGTGGAGTACACGGGTCTGATCTGCAACCGATCCAGGGGATGGCGCAGGGCTGGGCAGCATTTTGTTCTGTTGTGTGTGGGTTGCCATGAGTCGGGGCCAACTTGAAGGCCACTGACAACCACAGCAACACTTACTAGCCCTGTAAAATGGACTCTAACTCGAAATCGGGCGCCCTCGGAGACCTGAGAGCCTCTGAAACCTTTCAGTAAGTTGGCATCGTCCCTGTTCTGTTTTTGTTGTTTTAAAGTTTTTCACAGATTGTGGTAAATAGATGGTGGTCACTGGAAAAGAAGCTTTTTTTTTTTTTAATTTAATTGCTCCTCTCTGCACTAGGTGTGGGGAGCTTGAGGCCGACCCCCCCGTCTCACGGTGGGCACCGTGCCGGGCCACAGTGTTTACCCAGCGACGCCGCTCGGGAGCAGCCCAAGGGGCAGGGTGCGTTGGTGCTAGCACAGCGTCTGTGCTTTATTTAGCTTCTTGGGGCAAATTACACCAAATCACGGGTTTCTTAAATAAATGACAGCTACCAGAAATTCACCCTTGTGGGAATCTGAGGCGTATTTGAATGTCAGTAACTTGGATTGTCAAATGGTTACTTCAGATCTGCCCAGGTCATTCCCCCCTTTCTTTGCCCCACCCCCTTTTCATTGGGCACCAACTTCAGGGACGTGGGGTGCTTTCCCCAGGTGCCGCTCTGGAGGTTGTGGAGGTGTTGGTTTGCAAGCAGCTGATCAGTTTTCCTGAACCAGGTGGTACTGGCCAGTGATGGAGCTGCCTGCACGTGGCTGTTGGGGGGCAGGCTGGGCTGTGGGGGTTCTGAGTTTCCCAAACACTGTTTTCATTGCTTTTTTAAGAGGAAGAAAAACATCATTTGGGATTCCTGCCCTTTTTGTAGTATCCTCTTCCCTTTGCAGGGGAAATAGAAGTGAGTTAGTTGTCTCAGGGAAGCGTTGGTTCTTTGAGGACACAGCAGTCTTTAAGGGGTCCCTTCCATAACTATTAAGATGGGATTGACTGTTCATTTAAATATGTGCCACATCCCCCCCCCCCAAAGAATCATAGGAAACTAAAACGTTTTCCTTTTGCTATTCCAGGTTTTCTTAAATAATTACCAGGCAGCCGGAAACCACCCAGAAGTGGTCATCTTACGACTGTTACGCTCTCTCGCTCGTCTGGTGTGGAGGATGCAGTGACGGCCCTTCCTGCAGCAGAGTTGTGCGCAGACATTCCGCGGGTCACAGCAGCATGTCCGAGCACCAGGGTCTCTGCCGGTCCATGCAGCCCGCGATCCTCCGCAGAGGAGGGTGCAGAGGGGCGTGCGACCCCGGTCCTGACGCCGCCTCGCTGCGCGTGGACTTGACCTGCTCCTCAGTGTGTGGCAGCTGGTTGTGAATGTAAATGTCGGTGGATTTTTTTTTTTTTTTAAGTGTACAAATCGCGGTTTTTTGGAGCAGGACTTTATGCAGGAATGGTGTTTACATGCGGTGTGTTCTTTTCACCTTCTTTAGTAGAACAGGTTTTCAGCAAAAGGAAATGGAAGCTTTTTGACAAACTCCTGAAGGATTTTTTACTAAAATTTGGAGAACGTGTTGCCCACTCTTAGAGGGTTGTGTGAAATCGTGCAGAGGGGACTGAGCCAGCTGACTTACAGAGCTGCCTTCATTTGTTTTAGAGATTACTGTACAGAGTTTTTAAACAGGGAGGGATGTGATAGGCCCCCCTTACTTCCCTAGCATTGCCTCTTCCTATGACCTTTTTTTAATTATTATTATTGATACCAAAAGAGTTCTTATGAAATGGAACTGATGAAGGGCAGAGGGTCTGCAGCCAGCCTGCACTGACGTCCTCTCCCGTGTTGTAAATACTCACTCACCTCCTTAAATGCAGCTGCATCTGTGGCCGAGCTCCACGCTCTTTCGGTGTGTTTTTCCTGGTCTCCTTTTGTGACGCTCCTGTTGTCTTTCTGGGCAGTGATGCACAGATGTGGTCCAGTGTATTTTCCTAATAAAAGTCAGAACGAGAGGTGGAATCTGCCTGTATCACACACAGCCCCATCTGTCGGTTGTTACCACGAGCCGGGAGGTGCTTGGTGGTGTTCATTTAGTCTCGATGGGCGTGTCAGAAGTGTTGTGAGGCGGTAACAGCAGCAGTAAAAGCAGACAGCGTAGTACGTACTACACCCCTTTGTACCGCTGGCCTTCCTGGGAACAGGCCTGTCACAGGGTGAGCCCCACACGACGCCCCCGAGAGTCCACACCCCCGTGTAGCACAGTCCCTGCTGGCGCTGTCCACGCACAGTGGCCAGCTGAGTGGGCACGGCATGGGTGCGGGTGGGCTCCAGTGGCCATTTCTGGTGCAGCCCTGGCTGTGGTCCATTTAGAGCCCACCTGACCTTAGATGCCTGATGCTTGGTCCCCACTCCTCTGAATCCACCTTGAAATGTAGGCTTAATTCAGGTTTCACCAGTGCCGTAGACACACTCAATGGGGCCGAGTCTGAAATGACCCCTCAGCCCTCTGCCAGATGTCATTTTTACTTCCTCCATTTCTCTTGTGACAGTTGGATGCTGCCGGCCCCCTGTGTGTCCACGGCTGCAGCTGGTCCCCTCTGGCCAGGCCCCTCCCTGCCCCAGCAGGGAGCGGGAGGCCCCCCTCCCAGTCAGCCATCACAGAGGCGTTCAGACAGCGAGGGGGACCCAAGAAACAGACGAGGGAGCAGTGAAGGAGCCGGGGGAGATCCTTCTGTGAACCCTATAACTTACACAATTTTCGAAAACTCAGATTATTGAACGGCTTTTTAAAAGAAGTATGTGAATTTTCAAATGAGTCCGCAGTGCCAACAACTGTTGTGTTTGCTTTTGCCCCACATTGGACCAGTGTTTTCATGATTAAATTGAGTGGGAAATCCAGTCATTTGTATCTTTATAATTTTATACATATTGCATACTCACTCTTTCCTTTAGGTAGCGATAGTTTGATTGCAAATATTCCCGCCATCTTCCCCCCGCCCCAGCCCACCCCAGAGGTCTCCTTGGGGTTTTGAATATTTTTTAAGCTGTGTTGGATCTTTGCTTGTGTTCTTGATGTGTTTTGAACTCCTTCGTAGGGTCACAAAGTCCGCGGTTCCTAGGAGGTGTTAGAAATGCAGCCGTGGACCTGCTGGACACACACACCAAAGATGTATTTGGTTCTGGGCCATCCCCTCCCAGGATCCCCATAGTCACGTGCCAGTCTTCCCGGCTGGAGCACTTTAGTCTGTTTATTCAGCCCCGCGGCTCCGGGGAGCAATGCAGCGCATCCCAGGACGGACACGGGGTTCTGCTGCCCTGTGCCCGAGGGCCGTGACACCTCTTTGTCATGGCAGCCTCTGGGCTGGCCCATGGGAGCAGCTCGTGAGGAATAAGAGGTTCTATGAATTGTAGAAGTGTTCAAGGACAGGATGTTAGCCAGGATGTGAGAGACGGTGAGATGTCTCTGTACTGTATGTATCTGTTCATCAAGATGCCTCCCTGCAGAAAGTGTACCTACTACCGTGGGTATGCCTTTTCCTTTTTTTTTTTCTTTAACTTGGTAGAAAAAAATCAGTAGACCCCTTTTTTGAAAAGTTAACGTGGCTTTCGTGCCTTGACAACCTCTACCCACGTGAGGTTTGTAGAAAGTGTCCTGTGGCTTCACGATGAAATGCAATAAAAACAGAGCGACTTCATAGACGAGTCTTCCAATGACCCATCCTCCTTCCTAACCCGCGGAGATGATTTCATGAAGAATTTCTTTGGTTGTGGAGAAGCTAGTTTAAAATTCCTTCTGATCAGAACAAATGTATACAGTAGAATACGTTTTTCTCCTGTTTCCCCTTCTTAATATTGTATATATTTGACTATTTATTAGATTAGGAGATCATATTTTACTTATCAACTGAGCCAAATGTCTGTGCAATTGTGTTTTCTTTACCTTTCTTGTAAAATTTTGTACAGCTAAGTAAAAATCACTGTTTTTCTAAACTTTTTCAGAATTGAGGTTGTAAATATTGTAGATTCCCTTTCTGTGTAACAGTGTGCCCTACTGTTTCATAATGCTGTAACTTGTAGAAGTATTGTATATTTATTTTCTGCTTATTTAAAGTCTGAAGTTCTGAAAAGTGTTGACTTCCCTGCCCCCATCCCCTGCTGTCCCTCT